TACATTCACATTTACATTTAGTCATTTAGCAGACGCTTTTATCCAAAGCGACTTACAATTGGGGGATACATAAAGCGATTCTTCTTAAAGAGGCAAACAGACACAGGAAGTGGATGTAATACCAAGTTCTTAGACATTGTTCAAATAAGTACAAGCTAGAAAGAGAAGGAATAAATAAAGAGAGATAATTATTATTTTTTTTTTTTGATGAAGTCAAGTAGCTTCGAAAGAGATGAGTTTTCAGCTGTCGCTTGAAAATTGTCAGGGATTCAGCATTCCGGATAGGGGTGGGAAGATCGTTCCACCAGCCAGGAATGGTGAACGAGAATGTTCTGGAAAGTGATTTTGAGCCTCTCTGTGATGGTACCACGAGGTACCATCTTGCTTATTACTTATAAAGCCCTGAATGGTTTAGCACCTCAGTTCAACACCGTCCTGACAAACACCAACAGCAGCAGTCGTTCACTTCCAGCAGCATTACTCCAGTCTTCAGTGTCACATGATCTTCAGAAATCATTCTAATATGCTGATCTGCTGCTCAAGAAACATTTCTGATTATTACCAATGTTGAAAACAGTTGAGCTGCACAATATTTTTGTGGAAACCGTGATGAATTGTATTTTTCAGGATTCACAGATGAATAGAAAGTTCAGAAGAACAGCATTTATTTGAAATAGAAATCTTTTGTAAAATTATAAATGTCTTTACTGTCACTTTTGATCAGTTTAATGAATCCTTGATGAATAAAAGTATAAAATCTTAAAGTAAAATCTTAGAGCAATAAACTTACTCCAAACATTTGAATGGTAGTATATCAAGGTTTCCACAAACATATGAAGTAGCACAATGGTTTTCAAAAAATTAAATGAAAACAAAGAACAATTAAAACAAGGTTAAAACAACGTAATAGATAAAACGAAGCATTTAAACATACATTGACAAGAGATGGGACAGTTGAGAATTAAATAAAGCAAAAAAAAAAAAAAAAAACATAAATAAATAAATAAATAAAAAATAAATAAAATGCAATAGAAAGATGAATTAATTAATACTAATTTAAAACAAAAAATACACCAATGTGACAGTGTTGAAAATTCAAGTAAATAAAATAAATTAAAATAAAATAAGAATGAAAAAATACTAAAATAATTTAAAATAAATAAATAATTAAATTAATTAATTAATTAATAAAAAAATTAAATGTAATGGTTGAAAAGTAAAGGTGAAAATAAAATAAGTTGTTAAAAAATTCAAGATAAAAGAAAGAAAGAAAGAAAGAAAGAAAGAAAGAAAGAAAGCGTCAACACCCATGTAAATAAATAAATAAAATTTAAGTTTAACATTTAAGTTAAAACAAACTAATATGTGAGATGTGACGACTGAAAAGTCAATAAAACAATTTTTTTTAATTCCACACAAAAAAATGCATGAATTAAAATTAAAATTATTTAAAAACAAACAAACAAAAAAATAAATAAATAAAAATCAGCTGTGCATCACAGGAATAAATTACATTTGAACAGATATTCACACAGAAAACAGCTGTTTTAAATTGCAATAACATTTCACATTTTTACTGTATTTTTAATCCAATAAAAGCTGAGCAGAAGAGACGTCTTTGAGAAACTATAAGAGTCATGATTATTCCAGACGGCTGTGTGTCGTTCATCAGCCTGTAATAAGATCTCTGGTGTGAAATGATGTCTGCCGTTTACTAATAGATGGAGCCGCTCGCAGGGAGCGCATTAATAAAGGACGAGCGTGTATGAAACATATCGCGTAATGCACTTCTGATGAATTCACTGAATAATACAGACACCAGACCAGCTCTTCATGTCACTGTGAGCTCATTCATCAGACGCTGAAGGCCAGAGCTGATCCCGAGTCAGTGCTTCTCTTCTCCAAGCCCTCAGGTGCATTTCTGAGACTCTCTTGACACGGAGTCTTAAAGCTGCACAGCTAAAAGAGAGCTGCTTTACATCAGAACATGCTGCTAAAAACAGCAGATCAGTTCAGAAAGTCAGCGAGGAAAACATCAGCAAAATGAGTTTTTAATGAGTGTTTTTGTCTTCCTGCACTGTTCATTTCTCAACGTTTTTAACGTGTTTATATTTCAAAATCTGAAGTATAATCTAAAACAAAACACACTCACAGAAACAAGTTCAAAGTTCAGTACATGCTTTTCCCGTTTTTAAATAAATACAATTATTTCTTAATCATGCTTCATCATCAGTGGATGTTCTTTTAAAGAAAACACATTATTGTTTACAGTTAAAATTATATATTGTAAACTAACAAAATCTAATTAAGTCATATTAATTATTAAAAATTGCATAGTAATTATTAAAACATTTAATATCCATTTTTGAAAACTATTTCATAATAAAAATTGCAATTGCCATTTACCACTAAATTTAGTTTTGATTTTGACTAATTAAACATTATTTTAATAATTTATATATTATTATAATATAATATAATTTAATATAATAACAGTTATGTATTATATTTATATATTATAGTAATATATGTTAAACATTTTATTAACAATAACAAACTTTAAGTACATTTAAAATTAACTAAAATTATATTAAGAATTTATATTAATATAATATGAATGTGAGCTACTGGCAATGCAAACAAAATACACATTAATGAGTTTTTAATTAGTTTTTTTTTTTTTTTAAAGTTCAGTGTCTTTTTTTTTTATAAATAATATTATTATTATTTTTATAATATCGTTATTGTGAATGAATCACAGTGCATGTTATTCTAAATAAATTAATATTTTTGTTTACATTTAAAATGGCAATCAACAATCAAATTGTTATTAAAATATATTGGATATGCATTTCTGAAAACGATTTCATATTAAAATTTGCAAGAGTCATGTACCACTAAATTTAATTTAGATTTTGACTAATTAAACAGAATATATTCATAATTTATATTAATATAAAATGTGAACTGCTGACGCTGCAGAAAAAGACATTTTACTGTGTTTTAATTAGTCATTTTTTGTCTTACTGCACCGGGAGATTTTTCCACATGTTTTTCATTTGTTTATTTTTCACAATTATTCTTTATGAGCGTTTTTTTTTTTTTTTTACTTTCTTTAATAATATTATTTCTTTATAATATCGTTATTGTGAATGATTCATCAGTGCAATGCTTTTCTTAAATTCATTTTTGTTTACAGTTAAAATTACATCTTGTAAATTAAATCAACGATTAAAAATGCATATTAAATATTGAAATATATTTAATATGCATTTTAAAATAATTATTATATAGCTTTATCATGCCGTTACTGTGAATTATTCATCAGTGCGCGTTATTCGAAAGAAAGCACAGCTCAAATTAAACACTGTAAATAATCAAATTATTAACAAACTGCATATCGAATATTAAAATATATTAAATATACTATAATAATTAGAGTTATTAGACAGTCAATGACAAAAGTAATTTACTACTAAATTTAGTTTTGATTATGACAAATTAACATGAACAAATATAATCAATATATTAATACAATAATATATTAATATTTATAATAATTTTAATAATTATTATATAATAATATTATTATATAAAAATAATAATAATTATTATAATTTAAAGTGACTACTAAAACTGCAAAACAAATGGCATTGTAGAATGTTTGTGTAATTAGTGTTTTTTAATTAATTTTAATAACTTGTTTATAATTAATAATCTGATAGTATATCTGTTTATTTTAAACTTTCTTTAATAATATTACTTATTTCTTTATAATGTCACTATTGTGAATGATTCATTGGTGCATGTTTTTCTAAAGAAAATTAATTTTTGTTTACAATTAAACTTGCGTCTTGTAAATTAAATCAAATTATCATCAATTTCATATTAATCTATATTTAATAAAACAAAATAATAATTGCGTATTAAAAATTGCAATAGCCAAGATTTACCACTAAATGTAGTTTTGATTATGACAACTGAAACACTGTATTAATCATCAGTAGCACACACATGAATGTCGTGATGGTCTCACCGGAACAGCACGATGCGGTTGTGTCTCCACAGCTGTCTGGCGCTCCGGCCCCAGTATGGGTAATGAGTGTCCTGCAGCATCATGTCTGTTACCTTAGAAACCAGCAAACACACACAAACACACACTCCTTATTTACTTTGAGCTTCACAGTGACTGAGCTCAGAGTCATGCATAAAGAAAAGCTATTCAATATCCACAATATTTACATTTTATAAAGTCATACTTTATTTACTTTTTATGATTACTTTTTAATTCTTAACAGGATTATTATTAACACACAAAAAAGAAAACAAAAGAAACAAACAAAAACACAATAATTAGAAAAATACATATCATTTGAAATAAAATTAACATTAACATTAACACACACTCACACACACACACACACACATACACACACGCACACTCAAGCACACACGCACA